AACTATTTTTATAGAAGGAAAAAATGGTGCTATAATTCCATAATGCACTGAAAAAAGTTGGAAGTCCCTGTCTTTTTTCTTTCTTTCTTTTTCCCTCACTCTATCCCCTTCTCCTTTTCCCTTCATCTTTTTTTCTCTTTTCTTCATTTTCGCTTGTATTTTATATTAAGAAAAATCTTTAGTAAAAATTATCGAAAGCTGCATGTCAGGCCCCAGAATGTTTGAAAAGCTAATTACAATTTTAAAACCATAGTCTGTAGAGATTCTCAGTCTCAGTCCTGGTTGTCCCAAACGAGCTTTTTCAGGAGGCAACTGGACTTTCTTATTTTGTCTTTTGAAGAGGTTTCCCTTCTCCTCCAAGAAGCTTCTCCAGCTCTGATGGTGGGGAATGGAAGGATTTATATTCCTCCTTGCAGACAGCTGGTCATTTGCATCCTTTGAGAGGGTCATTGAGGCCACTTGGAGGTTTATCTGTGTCCTCAGGGTCACCTGGGTGATGCAAATGGTTCCTCTAGTCTGCAATTTTTCCTCTGGAAATCTCCCTGTCCTATCAAAGCTGAAGAAGCTTCTTGGATGAGAAGCGAAACTTCTTCAGGAGAAAAAAGAAAGTCTAGTTGCCTCCTGAAAAAAAAGCACCTTTGGGACAACTTTTCAACCATGTTAATGTCATAATGTTAACCCTGGATCAGTCAAACCCAGGAAGTCGGTTCTGATAACAAGTCACGGCTGAGAGATAAGCAGATAACGGCAGGGTAGATAGCCTGGGTCTCCCTACTTCTACCTGTCTGGATGGGGGTGGGGTGCGCCCACCTTCTCTCTGTTTTTGGCTCTCTGGTCCCCCAGTTTCCATCTGGTCTTGTATGAAACCAGCCCACACGCTGACTGATTTACGAGCAGACGGCCTGCAGGAAAGAGAGGCCGGCAGGATGCAAACATAACCGGGGCGTGTTTGTCTCACCGCAGCTGCTACTTGCCGCCCACCGTGCCAGCCCAGCCGGAAATGTTCGCTCCCAAACAACTGCCCCTGCCCTGGATGGACCGGGAGGTGTTGCCAGACAGGTAACAGTCTTTGGGTGCTGCCAGGTGTTTCCTCTTCTGGAGAAGTTGCGGCATTTGGGAAGGTGCTGTGCTCCGAAACCTCAGATTAAATGCAAACAGATTCCTAATGTAGCAGGAAGGAAGTGAGCGAGGTGCCGGTTCTGCTCCCACCAGGATCTCGGTTGTCAGGTGAACTGGCCTGTGGGTGGAACCAGCATGGTTGGCTCCCATCATGAGAACCCAATGATTGATAGTTGCTTTATTGAAGGAAGTTGGGAAGCAAAGAACTCGAATGAGTTTTGCCATTTTGTTTGCTCAAAACACTATTTTACTACGATGGTGATGATGATCAGAGTTTAATCTCACCTTTTATTCATATCTATAATGTAACGTGTTATATTAGACTTACTGGCCCATTTTCCCACCTTGGATGGTCCTTTTCTTTTTTGTTTTTGGTCTCTGCTGTGCAATGGCCATTGTTGGTGTTTCGTAAGGTTTTCAAAAGTGGGCTTTTTTTTTGCTGAGCATTTGGGCTGGCATGTTAGACAGGCCCATTTCAAGAGATGGGAGGAGATGATGCGATTGTCAGATCGCGTGTCTATTATTCCTCCCACTCCTCTTCCCCACCATTGATGCAACCATTATTATTGCCAGCGGGTGCAGCAAAGAAACGCCCTAACCAGGCCTGGGAAGGGGGGGCGCTGTTTCCACAATGCATGGGGCCCCCTTAGCTCACCGTTTCCCCCTCTGGCTGCAGATATGGACGAGTGTGCAATGGGGAAACACGGCTGCAGCCAGCTTTGCATCAACACGGCCGGAAGCTACCGCTGTGCTTGCCGTCCAGGGTACGAGCTCCATGCAGATGGACAAACCTGCCGGGGTCTGAAAACGCCCCCTACCCCAGCTCCCCCAGGTGAGATCAGAGCTTGTCTGGCAGGGTGATGGGGAAAAGGGTTCGGGCTTTGCGTGCTTGCTCGTAACGAAATGCACAGGCCAACGGGAGACTTTTGCATGGGATTTCTCCTCCTCTTTTCCAACATTTGGATTTGCACCTGGGTCCTCCTTCTGGCCACCTTCGTGTCTGGCGACTTGGCTGGCTTGTTATACAGATTATCAGAGTTGGAAGGGACCTTGTAGGTCATCTAGTCCAGGGGTCGCCAATCTTTTGGATCTCAGGTACCACCAAACCCATAATTTTAAATCCTGGGGACCACTAATATGAATTTTGACTGATGGTGGCTTGTTGATGTTGGTGGGAGAGAGAGATCTGATGTAAACTCTCTCTCTCCCCCCCCCACCCACACAAACACACAGAGGCGGGGTGGGATTCAAATTTCTTAACAACCGATTCTTGGGTGTGGCCTAATTTGTGGGAGTGGCTTGGTGGTCATGTGACCGGCTGGGCGTGGCATGTATGTAAATATAAATATTTATGTAAATATTTAATTTTTTTTATAAAAAAAGAGCAACTTTTACCCAAAATCAGGCAAAGCAGGCAGGCAGATTGAGTTGCTCACAGAATCATTCAGTGATCTATCTATCTGCCATCAGCTAGCTCAGTCTGTCACATAAAATTTGCTTGCCATGAGTCTGCACTGAATAATAGAACCTTCAGTCCTAAGGGAGGTGCTTAAAAGCAGAGCCAAAAGTCTAAAGACTAGCTAGAAAGCAAGAAATCAAATTATTTCCTGCTTTCTGGATAATCTAAATCTCCCGGCACAGCAGAACAGATGGTGGTCAGAAAAAGGAAAAATAGCAACTTAGCAGGCAAGTTTGCCAGGTAAGGAGTGAGTGGCAGCGGTTTCCCGCGGGCCATGTGGGCAGCGCAGCCTTGTGTTTCTGTGCAGCCTGGATTAATTGTTTTGTGGTGGTGCTCTGGGGGTGACATTTCTCTGCGGACCACCAAAATTTTCTCACAGACCACCAGTGGGCCACGGCCAACTGGTTGGCAACCACTGATCTAGTCTACCCCCTGCCCAAGCAGGAGACCCTACACCATTTCTGACAGATGGCAGTCCAGTCTCTTCTTGAAAGCTTCCAGGGATGAAGCTCCCACAACTTCCAAAGGCAACTTCTGTTCCATGGGTGGATTGTTCTCCCTGTCAGAAAATGTCTCCTTATTTCCAGGTTGAATCTCTCCTTGTTCACTTTACATCCATTATTCCTTGTCTGGCCTTCAGGTGCCTTGGAAAATAGCTTGACCGCTTCCTCCTCTCTGTGGCAGCTCCTCAAATATCTTCACTAGACTAGCCATGCCCAGTTTCTGTATGTTTTCATACGTTCATCGTATGTTTTAGCCTCCAGTCCCCTCATCATCTTGATCCAGAAGGAGAATCTTTGATGATACCTTGAGATTATTATGCAGGAATGATTGTTCCTCACCAGTGGGTAGGTGGTAGGTGTGTTGGTTGGTGGTAGGTTCCTTGAGTTAAGAGATCTCATGATGAGCTGTCCTCCCAGGTAAGACAGGAAGACAAATTTCTTGTTGCTTAAATGCCTGGGAGGCACAACCATAGCTATTTTCTCCAGAGTCCCTCCAGTATGATACATGAATCCAGTACCTGGGCTAGTGGACAATTTAGTTCAACTGGAATCCATCAATTGTAACCTGCTTTCTGGATGCAAACACTAGCAGTGTTTTTCATCTCTGTCATTTTAAGGATGAGTGGACTTCAACTTCCCAGAATTCTGGGAATTGAAGTCCATCCATCTTAAAGTGGCAGAGGTTGAGAAACCTATCTCTAGACTCACTCGGTCCTCAAAGAGGAATGGCTGCACTGCTTCTTGTCGCTTCTGAACAACGCAGGGATGTCCATCTTCTCCAAGCATGTTGTCCTGCCCCTGTTGGAATCTGACTCCGAGGGGGAGTTTGAGCAGCTGACAGGGAGTGGGAGTGTGGCTTCGGTGGCTGTGGAGGAAACTGGGGAAGGGCACAGTCCAGCTGGGCATTCAGAGGAAGACTCAGCCCCACCCCCTCTTCACCCTAGGGTACACAGGGAGGAATGGAGAAGGGAGCAACGTGGGTTATGGGGGAGAAAAAGGCCCTGATTCCCTTCATTAGCTGCAGCTGGGAAAACAGGATTTAAAAAGGGCATTTGCGCACAGCACCTTGCTGGAAGCAAAGCGTAAATTATCTTTGTCAAGTCTTAGTTGGGTTCTGGTGTCCTCCCAACTGTGTGTTTCGTTATCTTTTGACGTCTTCAATCCTTTATCCTGCCCTGTCTCATTAGTTGCTGCAGTGTGGTTTGTGTTGGTTTTTATTTATAATCTATATGTACTTTGGGTTCAGACTGAATTCCTTCCCTTTAAAAACTGTTCTTGGGAGAGTTTTTTCTCCAGACGAGGATAACTGGACATTGGGGGCCAAGTTGAAGATATTAAAGGGACTTTACCTATTTTTGTGACTTTGTTGCTTTTGTGCCATGCCCTGGGTCATCACATGTTCTCAGATGCTACGTGCAGCCTTGTGGGAGAACTCAGATTTTCACAATTAGACTACCGGTACATTAATGTGTGCAGCACACCCAAGATTACCTGGTCCCTAATCCTGACCCAACATGACTGACCTGGAGGTCCCAAACATCACCTTGAATTCTGCACACACCTTCCTGTAGCACCTCAAGGCTTTTCTCAAGAGACTTCAAAGGTTCCACGTGCTGCCTTCCTTCTCTACATCGCACCCCAAGCAGGAAGAGAAGACTATCAGCCCGGGCTGACTGCGGCTCATTATTACTTTTGGTACGCGCTGTGCCACTTCAAACTCGTACCGTGAGTAATAATGCGCGGAGGGCCAGCTTTTACGCCGAAGAGGACGAGTGGAGCAACATGTTGGCACCAGCCTTTCATCCGCGGAAAGGGAACAACTACTTAACACGCGGCTGATTTCCTGCGCTCTCTTGGGCAGACCAAGAGAAGGAGGATTTTGAACGGCTGTGATGGGTTGGTTTGGTTTTTGTCACTTCTCCTCCAGGAGCTCGAGATATAGTGCTCCTCCCAAAAATAAGCTTGCAAGGTAGGCCGAGTGAAGAGCCGGCAAGTGGTTTAAGTCCCTGGGAGGGCTTCCGTGGCTGAGGGTGGTCTTGAACCCATGTTTTTCAGCTTCCAGCTTCCAACAACTCAGCTCCATGCCAGATGGATTCTGAGTGGTTTGGCGGTATTTGCAATCCTGCCCGGATAAGGAGAGTGCCAGATAGGTGGGAATCCCAGTGAATAAAACGTCTACTCATTTCTCTACGGATGTCTGTTTGGTTGTTAACATCTACACAGTCGTTGCCCACGGAAACAATAAAATCAACGGGGGAAAACCTCCCACCTTCACTAGCACAGGTGATGTTACCTAGCTGGAGAAGGAAATGTCTGCAAACCAGCAGCCAGGCTCAGAGAGCACCAAGGACTCCAGAGGTTTAAAAACAGAAAATGATTTTAATAACGGTAGACACACACACACACACACACACAAACACACAGTTCTGTTTTTTTACTCTTGATAATTTAAATGGCATTTCCTCCTTCTTGTAACTGTGTGGGAATTTTTTGTCTCCAGTCAAGGATATTTGGAGCTTGGAAGCAAAGTGAAGGAATAAAAGGGGCTTCACCTGTTTTTTGTCACTGTGTTTATTTTGTATCCCACCCTGGGTCATCACACTAAGATAGACACGCTGACCGATTTGATTAAAGAAAAGATAATATCTTTGTTTATTGCTGAGTGGAAACCCCTTATTGGAAAAAAATAAAATAAACATGATCTATGATTCTGATAATTATATAAGTTAGACGTAGAAAGAAGAGAGTCACAATGAAATTTTTGAGAAAGGAGGAAATCTACAATTGTAATTAAAGGTAAAGGTTCCCCTTGCACATATGGGCTAGTAGGGAGTGGTGCTCATTTCCATTCCTTCACTTGTCAGAAGGTGACAAAAGCCAATCACATGACCGTAGGACCAGTGGTGGGATTCAACCGGTGTAACAACCAGTTTGGTGGGCACATGTTTCGCACACGCATGTACATGCTTTTCGTTTTGAAAATAGAAGGAAAACTTACCTTTTACCGCAGCCCGGGCAGTGGTGGTATTCTACCGGTTCAGCCCGGTTCTGCCAAGCTGGCAGTGGTGATGAGCAATGGAGACTGAAATGGTTCTCTCTGCCGCTCTACTGTTGGGCCCACCCACCTGCCCGGGCTCCCATTTTCACCTTTATCCAGGGGTGGGATTCTGCCAGTTTGCACCTATTTGCTAGAACCGGTTGTTAACATTCTAAGCAGTTCGGAGAACCGGTTGTTAGAAGAAATTACAGGGCTAATCCTGTAAGGAAGGCAAGAAGGAAACATTCTGGTGTTGCTTACAGAAACTGCCTCTCCGTTAACCCTTATTACATTCTTGGCAGGACTAGACTTCCTGTCTCAGGAACTTCTCTGGAGTTTTTTCCCCTCCTTTGCTGGTACTTTGCTTGTGTGGACCATTCAAAGTTATAATGGCACTGAAATTGACTTATGACCATTTTTTACACTTACGACTGTTGCAGCATCCCCACAGTCATGAGAGGCCGGGCGAGAAGATGCATGCCTCGATGTGAGTGATGTTGAGTTGGCCATGCCCAGCCAATAACATGACCACCAAGCCATGCCCACCCAGTCACATGACCACCTAAGCCACGCCCACCACCTTAGCCACGCCCACAGAACCGGTTGTTAAAAAATTTGAATCCCACCCCTGCTTTTATCCCCTGCTTTGCACGGCACAGCCGAGTGCTGCGTGGCAGCTGCTGAAGTGACCGGGAGAGTGCAGGGTTGCAGGAGGTGAGTTGGAATACCTCTGCGCCTGCGCAAAGTGCACATTTGGTGCACATGCGCATGTAAAGTGTGTGCACACATGCAAAGTGTGCCCACCAAGCCACGCCCACCGAACCGGTGGTAAAACTTCGAATCCCACCACTGAGTAAAAACAGCCAAGGCGTGGCAATCCGGGCTGCCATGCCAATCAGCTGGGCTTCAAACAAAGGAAATATAGGACAGAATAGAGCAGGGGTGGGTGGGTGAAACCAAATGGTCGCTGGAACTACCGGTTCATCTGAACCGATCCCTACCGGCTGAATCTACCTGACTCCGTGGTTTCTTCCCCAAACCCCAAAGACTTTAACCTTAGACTGTCTACTATTGACCTCACCCCTTTCCTAAGAGGTCTGTAGGGGGCGTGCATAAGCGCACCAACGTGCCTACCGTCCCTGTCCTATTGTTTCTTTTATTTATTTATTTTCTTATATGTATCCATGTATTCATAACTATGTTTTTACTTATACCTATTACCTTGTAAGCAATTGACAAACCAAATAAATAATAAAATAAATCCCACCGTCATGAACCCGTTGCCAAGCATCCAAATTTTGATCAGGTGACCACAGGAATGCTGCAACGGTCGTAGATGTGAAAAATTGTCCTAACTCACCTTTTTTGTTGTAAGTCGAGAACTAGCTGTCCTTCAGCCGAGCCAGATTCCTAATGGCTTCTGGTTGTTTCTTGGCTATAACTGGGAACCACTGGCCTCGGTCCTCCGGGGTGTTTGGGAAGCCATTGTGAAGGGATGCAGATCTGGCTTTGAGGACGGAAGAAGAGAGACGTCAAGTGTGGGGGGAGGACGTGGACAGAGAGAAGGAAATGCAAGAAAGAAACTCGAGATCCTGATTCTCTTAAGTGTACGAAGGGACCGAGAGAAACTCAGACAGACTTTGGGGAGCATCTTATTGTATCCTAGAATAGTAACAAACACAACCTTCTTGGAATCCCTGTGATGTCTGACATTAACCAGGTTCTTACAGATGTTTTTGTTTTGTTTTGTTCCTGTTCTGTTGTGCATTTGTATAGCAGGAAGTGACCACCTTCCCGTTCCAGACGAAGTGAGAGAGCTGAGGAGCAGGTTGGCAGCTTTGGAAGAAGTGAGTCTCCTTCTAGTAATCAAGCGGTTAGGAACGGAGAGGCCGGTTGTCTGAACAGCAGCGTGTCACTGCCCTAAGCAACATAAACCCATAAGGTCCAGGCAGACATCAGGGAGGAAAATCCACTCGGTAATCAAGATGATGGGCTCGACTCAGGAAAGAAAGTCTTAAGTTGAGCTTCACTGGTGGGGTCTTCACCAACACAGCTGTACTGGCTGAGGAATTCTGGGAGTTGAAGCCCACAAGTCTTAAAGTTGCCCCGTTTGGGGACCCCCTGATATACAACATCAGAGTTCTGATTTTTGTCTCCCAAGTCCTTGTTCCGTTCCACCCGAAAGAAAAGTCTTTGGTTTTCTTTCTAATGTTCACTTGAAGGCTTTTCTGTGTTGAAGACACTTTCTCCCTTTCTCAACAGAAGTTCCAGCTCGTTTTGGCACCGTTCCTCAAGCTGGACCTGCCTGGCGCCGGAGAGGGCCCCGGGGCAGAACCCATCAGCCTCTTGGTCCACGTGATCCAGCAACTGGACCGAATAGATTCGCTCAGCGAGCAGATCTCTTTCCTGGAGGAGCGCCTGGAAACCTGTAGGTGGCCCCAATGGACCTCCCTCCCTCCTACCCATCCACCCAGGCCCACTTTCCAAATTGTCTACGTGGCCCAGATCCGTGGCAGGGTTTCCCTTGGGACGGAAGCAGAAGTGGCGCAAAGTGCAGGAGGAATTGAGGGACGGGTGGCTGGTCTGCAGAGCCCTACAGCCTCTTCTATGCCCCCCCACAAGAGCTTTCCACCCCCTTTCCACATATTCAGGGATACTGTTAGCTCCAGATCAGGACCAGGGATTTCTTCCCCCAATTTGCAGGCAGAAGGTGTGCCCTAAATAGCTTTGGGGAGGCGGGGGGGGGGGGGAAGCAAAATTTTAATATTTGTAGCTCAGGGTTGCAAGGAGGGCTCCTTGGTGCTCTCTGAATATGGTTGTTTTGTGGCAGGCATTTCATGACCCAACTAGGTAACATCATTAGTGCTAGAAGGGAGTGGGATTTGAGGAGGAGGGGGAGGAGGAGGAGGAAAAGGAGGAGGAGGGGGAGGAGGAGGAGGAGGAGAGGACTGTGAGGTCCTCAGTGCTCTCTGAGCTTGGTAATTTTCTTGCAGACGTTTCTTCACCCAACTAAGTAACATCATCATTTTGCTAGAAGGGTTTGGGGAGAGGAGGAGGATTGTGAGGTTCTGGGTGCTCTCTGAACTCCCTTGTTTTCTTGCAGACGTTTCATGAGCCAGCTAGGTAACATCATCAGGGCTAGAAGGGAGTGGGGTTTGCTCTCGGTTTATACAGTGGATGCCCTGTCAGTGTTGGTGGGGGTGTTGTTTTCTTCTTGGTCTTAATTTGGCTGTTGTTTGCCGTTTGATTGTTGGTCTGACTTGATCATTCCTGGATATGTTTACTGTTTACTTCTTGAAACTCGAATCAATAAACAATACCCCAGTGGAGAAACTGGCAACTCAGACAGACAATCCAACAGCAATCAACAGCCCAATCAAGGAGTCACCCCCAACAGTCCTGTCAGGGAAGCCACTAGCATCCAAGCGCTTTCAAAGGCGCATGGAATGTTGTTCCCTTCCCACCAAAGGTGGTCCCGATTTTGCTACTTGCATTTTTTACATGCTTTCAAACTGCTAGATTGGCAGAAGCTGCTGGGACAAGGAACGGGAGCTCACTCCGTGATGCGGCGCTGGGGGTTTGAACCGCCGAACTGCCGACCTTTCGGATCGACAAGCTCAGCGTCCTAGTCCCTGAGCCATCACGTCCCCTTTTGTCCCCGTAGGTTCCTGCAAGAACCGGCTCTGAGGCTGCAAGAAGGATGGAGATCCCCGGTGCTCCCGCATCCCACTGTTTTCCTGCTGTGTCTCTCCGTTGAGTAGCAACTGAGTAGCCTGTTCCAGCAGCCAAGCCAAGCCAAGGCGGCGGAGAGGATGAAGAGGCTGGAAAGATCACGTTCTCAGCGAGGCCACTCACCCTCCTTCCAGCTGGCTGGCTCCCGGGGTGGCTCACCTCTCCAAACCCTGCTGGCCAGGGGTTGTGGGAGGGAGACAGGCAAAACATCCTAGCAAAACATCCCTGGAAACAGGAAGCATCTTGCTTGCGGAGTGGACGGATTCGGGTGAGGTGAGCAGGTCTCGCCTTCCTCGGGAGGTATGAGAGCAGCAGTTCACAACAAAAGGGGGCCCCTCTGGCAAAGCTCAGAGGCTGTGCTCTTTTCCAGGCTGTCACCCAAAATATCTTGGCAAGGCAGGGTTATTTCTCGGGGGGGGGGCTAAACCAGCCCTCCCCTGCCCTGTGTAAATGCACCATTTGTGTCCTTGCTTTGCTTTCCAACTGTAGGAATACTCCCACTGTTTCCCATGTCCTCCCTCTTTCAGAAAGAAATAGAACAGGTTCCTAGGGCTGGAAGGGACCCTGTAGGTCATCTAGCCCACCCCCCCCCCCCCCCAAGCGGGAGACCCTAACCATTTCTGACAGATGGCAGCCCAGTCTCTTCTTGAAAGCCTCCAGTGATGAAGCTCCCACAACCTCTGAAGGCAACTTCGGTTCCATATGTTGATTGTTCTCCCTGTCAGAAAGTTTATCCTTATTTCTAGGTTGAATCTCTCTCCTTGATCAGTTTCCATCCATTAGTCCTTGCCTGGCCCTCAGGTGCTTTGGAAAACAGCTTGACTCCTTCCTCCTCTCTGTGGCAGCCCCTCAAATATTGGAAGGCTACTGTCCTGTCTCCCCTGGTCCTTCTCTTCACCAGACTAGCCATGACCAGTTCCTGCAACAGTTCATCGTATGTTTTATTCTCCAGTCCCCTAATCATCCTGGTTGCTCTTCTCTGCCTTCTTTCTAGAGTCTCGACCTCTTTTTTATAGTGTGGTGACCAAAAGTGGATGCAGTCCTCTAGGTGTGGCCTTACATAATACTTACTACCCCGTTTTCTCAAGCAGGAGACGAATGGCTGTCCAATCTCTTCTTGAAAACCTCCAGTGATGAAGCATCATCACTTCTGGAGGGGATAGTCCTTCCACTGGTTAAATTGGAAGTTTCTCCTTAATGTCGGTTGGATCTCTTTAAACAAACTGCCACCCATTACTTCTTACCCTGCCTTTAGAGCAGTGCCCCCACCCCCAGCCTTTTGGGCACCAGGGACCCGTTCCGTGGAGAGTTTATATCCACGGAGCAGAAGGGTTGTGGTTTCGTGTGCTGTCTGTATCCTGTGATTGGGGCTTTGCTTGTTTGCGCAGCCCAGTTTCTGGCATATCCCAGACAGGTACTGGTGCATGGACCTGGAGTTGGGGACCCCTGCCTTAGAGCATAAATCAACCCCCCTTCTCTGTGACAGCCCCTCAAATCCTGGAAGACGGTAATCATGTCACCTCTAAGCCTTCTAAGCTAGATACACCTAGCTCCCTCACCTGTGCATCCTATGATTTAGCTTCCAGAATCCTGATTGTCTTTAGCTGCTCTTCTCTGCACTCTTCCTAGGATCTCAGTTCTTGTGTGTGGTGTGTGTGTGTGTGTGTGTGTGTGTGTCGTGGTGACCAGAACTGGTTGCAGTGTTCCAAGCGTTCACTAGTTCAGTGTAAAGTGAACTCACTTTCCGTGATCTTGAATCTCATCCCTCTGTTGACGTCTGTTGAATGCAGTTGAAGTCTGTGTTGCAACAGACACCTGGCTCCAATTTAGCAATAGCCCTTAGACTTATATACCGCTTTATAGTGCTTTTACAGCCC